AACATGATTCATTATATTAATCACAAAATGTAAGCACAAGCCAGCAGGAGTAAAAGAGCAAATTCATAAAAGAAAAAAAAAAGTGGCATAAAAACCCCCCACAGTGATCAAGACTTGACCTTGGGGAATTTATATATTGGATTAAGAGGTCCAGAGCCAAATAGAACACCAAATTTAAGTCTTGTGCTTTTATAAACCATGCCAAATGTATGCCCTTGTCATTTCATCATATAAATTAAGCATGTGCTTTTAAACACCAGTAACTATCTTAGAATAAACTTTTCAACGAGACTTTCTCAAGGCCTGTGTTTTGCTGAACATTGTGCTAGGGGCTTGGAGAAGATGATTAGATATTCATGGCCTCAAAGGGCCTACAGTCTAGTTGTGGATAATGAAGACTAACATAGTTAAAATCAGAGCAAAAGGACCCCGCAGCATCTACTTCTGTGCTGTGCTGGATGGAATATTCAGCACTATTTTTCAGAGTTAGAATAAGAGAGATTAGAAGCTGCAGTGAAGGTGGAATCAGTTTTGACAGAACAGTGTAAATCTCAAGAGCACAGGCTCTGATGTCTGACACCTGAGGGTGAATCCCTGCTCAGCCAATGGCAGTTATATGGACTCAGGGAAAGTTGGCTGACCTCTCTGAGTCTCAGTTTCCTCACCTGCCAAATGGTGGTATGGGCAGTACCCTGAGATGCTCTCTGTGAAGACTGGGTGAGTTAATGTTCCACTTTCAATAAACAACAGTTATTTTTATCATTACCAAACCACCACCACCTTCATTACCAGGCTTTGGAGGACGAGAAGGCGTTAAGAATGGGCACAGAATGAAGCCAGCATTCCAGATAAAGGAAAGGCAAAAGGAGTGAAGGTCTGGAGATGGGAAAGAGCCAATGTTTTGCTTCTAGGCTAGGGAGGACTAGCTAGACCAGAATAGAGAGCAGTTCTTCAGATGTGCAGGGAGAGGAGGTTGGATATAGAGGGTAGGACCAGATGATGGGGAGAATCTCTTGTAACCCCCATAGAACCCTGTACCTTAATTCTGGGAAGATAATGTGCCTTGAAAAGTGCTGGAGAGTAGTATCAGTTTGTTGACTACTGGAGCAACAAGAGGCTCAAAAATTATTTGCTAATTGAGGGGGTTGCAACATAGGAAATAAAGATGAATCTTCCTTCTGTCTTTGCAGCCCATTCAGCATCTTTATTATAAAGGCTGCAAAACATAAGTAAAAACCCATAACAATTAGGCTTGAACTATTTCTCAGAGTTGAGTCTCCCCAGTGTTTCTGTAGACTCTAAATAGCTTATCCCTTTTTTTCTTTGCAGACCCCACTCACGTTATCATCAACCAATGGTCATAATAGGACAGGGGAAGCCAGGTTTTAACTGTGAGGGAAAATAGATCAGTGAAAGTTGTTCATTTCAAGGAGTAAACATTTTTTGTTTCTGTAAGAGAGAAGAGATCAAGGCCATGAAAAGAAAAATAGTCTGAATCAGGATGTAGATTGGAGAATAAGCATTAGCTCTATAAGGAGACTCTGGGGCTTTTCAATATTTAGGATACTAGTATTTATCTTCTTTATTCCCCAATGGGATATGTTTTTAAATCTAAGGATAGGATTAATTATCTTAGGAGAATCTAATCTCTACCTTCATGTTTTAAACTGCAAGCAGGGAGATGTTTTAAACATTATGAAAAGAAGAGAAAATCTCTCCTGACAAATAAATGCCTTGAAAAATTAGATATTAGTACTAGTCAAGTGTTCTTTCTTTTCAGAAATATTAAAATTGCATATTAGAATGGAAGGAGCCTTATACTATACTTCCTCCTAATGCCACAAAAAATAAGACTTTAGGAACAATTTCCGAGACAAAAGATTATATGAAACATCCAGTTCTTCCCCTTATGGGAAATTTCTTTTTTTTTTTTTCTTTAACATCCCAGGCTCAATCATTTCCTAATGTGAAATTACAGATTTTTCAAATTACCATATAAAACTGCGAAAAAATTACACTTGTGACCACAGAAGAGATAGCATACACTATCAATTTGATTTTAAAAGGCATACATCTTTTATACTACCTGTCATTTTTATAATGCCTTTTACAAATTTAATCAATACATTTTAACATTCTATATACTTTAAGTGCAATATACAATAAATATTCAAGTTTCATCTTAAACATGCTTTAGCCTTTAAATTGTTAAAACTGCAGTGCCCTTTCAATCTACTTACATAATGTCATAAAATATACATTTCAAGGTAAATGAAGTCAGCTACTTCAATTTAGTCCCTCAAACTGGTAGTAAATGAGAGGTTAACACTATGGTGCCAAACCCATTATTGAGTAAATTTAGCACCTTGGACAGCTCTGTAAAATCTTTATTGCTTTCCTGACCTGCTCGTCATGTTCTGTCTGTGTGTTCAGTGGCTCTCAGCTCTGATTGAAAGGCAATATATTAGATCCCCAACACAAACACGCTTGGGGGCTAGTTCACTGGGAGCGTAATGACATGGAGGTGAGAGCAATTTTCTGGTCACCAAAATCCAAGCACCTTGCAGGTCCATTGCACTAACTCATAGAGGACCCAGAAATTTCCTTTCTCCTTCCCATTTGCAGAAATAACTAATAGAAGCTGAATCACAATGGCAGAGCTGAACCAAATGTGGGCTCTCCCTTAAATCCCAAAGTCCATACTGCAGTGAAGGACATTTTAAAATGGGCAAGGTATCATTTAAGGAAATCACTTTCAGGGCAAGAAATCCAGGTTCGCTGTCTACAAGACTGCTGGTCTGAAGTGCTGCAGGGCTGATGACCCACCTATGGCAGTGTGCCTACTGGGAAAGCATAACCCAGCTCCGTGGATAGAAGAAGGATGTAACTTCATAAAGCAAGATTCACATGTTTCATTTTCAGAGGATTAAATGGTGATGAGAGCTCTGGGTATTGAATAAGCAGAAAAAGAAACAATTGGATTATGTCACTGAAAAACCTTTATAGTCAAAAATATATGAGAGTAAACTGTATAGCATACACGAGTAGCTGAAATTTTTTCAGGTTTATAAAAACTTCAAAGATCTTGGAGTTTATTTTGAACTTCCCTCCTCCCTGGTTCTGTGTAATTAATTAAAATAAGCACTGGTCTGAGTCCTCAATGATAGTGTTCCAAGATTGAAATTCACAAGTGCAGTTTCCAACTGTACCTCATCTTGTTTTTTCCCTAAAATGAAAAGAAAGAAAAATACCTTCTCTGCCAAATCCAAACACTGGCATAAATATTTATTTGAAGAAATAAATGAACATAGACCCAGAGAAGTCAAATCTTAGTAAATAAACTAACTTGATCCTGTTTTGTTTTAATCTTTCCTAAGCGCCATGAGGTTTTAGTGAAAGCAGCACGGGCCGAATTTGATATGGGGATAGGGTTTAGTGTGCCCATACTGTAGTAAATTATTAACTGGTGTGGTCAGACAATACGGCAAACAAAAAGTGGTAAATTATCTTGTAGCTTGCATTAAGGAAAAAAAATAAGTTATTTCGGATGTATTGATTCAAACCTCATTGATTATATAATGCTTTTCATTCCTTATATAAAAAATAACTGAACTGTTTTACAAACGGGGTCTAGCAGCTTAAGGCTCAATAAATGTTTATTGAGAAGTGAAAACCCCTCTATCTCATTTTTGAATTTAGGACATTATATATGTCATAAGTAGTTACTGCAGTGTGACAACTATTTTATCTTATATTACAGAAAATTTAAAATTGAAAAATGTTAATATGTATCTAAAAGCTTGTCACTTCAAGAGTTGTTCAAGGATTTTTGAAGAGGCTATGGTGACAGCAAAATGAATGTAATTATATCCCTATTTTCTGATCAGCATCTACAGTATACGAAAATCGAATAGCACGGCTTCTCCATGAAGAAATCTATTGTGTGAAATATTTAAAGTTTAACTTCTTGAAACTTTACCCACAGGAAAAAAAAAAGTAAACATATCTTCTTGCAAATCACCTCTGATAATCATGCCTGTATGTTTGGTTCTCTGATTAGCCTCCATTTTACAAGCCTAACTTTCCTCTTCATACTCCAGTTTAAATGAATATGAAGAAAATTAGGTCAGAATGAAGACAGAGTGACTTCTTTTGGTTGAATGAAAAAAATTACCACCACACACACTTTTGTAGAGTGTGCTATTAGAAACAAGCATACAAGCTAAATACAGAAGCCTACCTAAATGAAAAGAGGGAAACATTTTTCTTCAACTAGAATGAAAAGCAGAGCATATATCTAGGATGAGAATGAAGAGCAAATGGGGAAAATGACAAACAATACTGAAATAGCAAAGAATTGCTGTAAAAGAAACAGACTGTGCCAGTCATGAAAATTGGTGCAGAGGGAGCTTCCGGGGGCAGGAGAATCCTTCTGTAAGAGCCTCTGACAAACAGTGCATTGCCCCAGAATGTGAGTTTACTCCATCACTCCCTTATGTCATGGCTCTACCACACAAGGGAGATAAACAAAAGAAGTTTAATGCTACATGCTTCTAGTAGCCAAAGATTGATTGGAAATCCCTCGAAAATGACCTGTCTGATAAGGTCATGGTTCCTGGAATAAGCAATTAAGTACTAAATAAACACATCTTAGGGATTCATAACATGCACTGAATGACATCGATTGTAGTAATCTAGTAAATGACCTCGCAATTGTATTCAGCAATAAACATATGAGTGCTTTATCGTGCCTATGGCAGACTATTGAGTGATGTATTTTATCCTGCAGTACCAATGATGCTCACCTTTTGACTCAATTAAGTGTGTATGTGAACAGGGATAAATTGGTGATTTAACAGCATTCTGGGGTTTCCCAAGCTACTGCCTTTAAAACAGTGTGTTGACAAAGTATGGCCAGAGGGGACTATGACATGGTCCTGTGAAGAGATGAGGACAAGTGGCCTTCACTCAGACGACTGTATCTGCTTTTCTCTTGACAGGAAGTAATACTCAAAAGGGCTGCAGACCTGGTGGAAGCGCTGTATGGGATGCCACACAACAACCAGGTGAGCGCGACTGTTGAAGATTCCTTATTGTGTTGAAAAAGGGCGAAAAACACAAAAGCACTTGCATGAGTTCCGTGTCATCCAGACATGAGACATAAGGCTATTCCGTTCTTTCTTATTCTGTAAATCTCTTATTACCTTTTCAATGGAATCATTTCCTTACGAGAATAGGTACTCCATTTAAAACAAATTTTCCATGGGAATGTACTTCATAATTGAGGAAGAGAGTTACCAGTGTTTTATTTTATTCCTCTCAGGTTTTCAAGCAGATTTAGGAGGAAAAGGGGGTTTAATTTCCTCTCCTAAAAAGAATGAAAAGGCCTGACTATAATTGTCTGCTTCTATTCACAGAGCAGCTCCATGTATATGAGTCAAATTGCTCTAGAAACTAGGAGTCTGGGCGATCATTCACTCTTTTTTTGTGTGTGACTTGAATCAGTGTCCAGGAGACACAGTTCCACTAATACTCAGGGACACAGTTATCTACTGCCTTCCCTTAGCTTTAGTACAGGAGAGGAGTTGTAGCCTCTGTGTGTGTGTGTGTGTGTGTGTATGTACCACCAGAGTTCCTGTGTGTTATTGGCTGCCGGGTGGGGGTCGGGGGGACACCATGATGCTGTCACATGCGGGGTAGTAATATGGAAGGGTAGTAATATGGGGCTAAGACAATGGCCTTTCAAAGTCAGTCAAACAAGGTTATGAAGCCCAGCTCTATCCCTAATAGGTTAGTGTCCTTATGTGAGCTCTTGGCCTCTCTCTGAGCCTCAGTCCCCCATTTGCGATATGGGCCCATTATGATGAGCCTTCTTCCCAGGTTTGCTGAGAGGTTGCAGAAGGTAATGCAGTTAGAGCACTGGAAGCCCTGAGCACCAGGCCTGTCGTATAGTAAACACTGGGAAAAAATGGTTTTCCTGGGAGTATGACTAAGGGTAGCTAAATGGAGTATTGTTTTACTTTGCAGGAAATTATTCTGAAGAGGGCCGCTGACATCGCAGAGGCTCTGTACAGTGTCCCCCGCAACCACAGCCAGCTCCCGGCCCTCACCAACACCTCGGTCCACGCGGGAATGATGGGCGTGAATTCCTTCAGTGGACAACTGGCTGTGAATGTCTCGGAGGCGTCACAGGCCACCAATCAGGGTCAGGAGCCTGTTTCTCTCCCTCCCCATTTCCTTGCCCCTTCCCAACCTCGGAGTGCTCCCCACCCCCCACCCCTACCACTTATTTGGCATAAAACAATTTTTATTTAAAAACATCTTTTTCCGAAAGGGGAGATTCCTAGTTTCTGTGTATCAGATATTACTGTAGAATTTGGGTTATAGCGCTCGCAGCTGGCAGTCTGGTTCGGGGGCTAGAAAGGAGGCATGCATTTAGCCATCTCTCCATTTGACTTTTCACCATAAACCATGAATGACAGATCGCAAAGAGGGTTGGAATTAAAGTTCTGAGGGGCCAAAGCACATCATCCTCGCCCAGGGAATAGGAACCTGTTAACTCCAGGGTACATCTCTTAGATTGGGATTTATTTCTGCTCCAAAATGATAATTTATAGGCCCTGCATTGCCACTTCTCACGGCCCTGCTAAGTATTTATGATCTCCTAAGAAATGTGTGTTTTGCTCGCTTCCCATTTTAATCACAGAGCTAGCACTACCAACCCACACACATGAATCACCCAAGCCCTTCCCTCTGGGATGCGGCAGCGGGGCAAGAAACAGAGCCCTTCCTTTCCCGAGGCTCCCAGGATTGCCACCCTCATCCCGGTTTCGCCCCCACCCCTCAGGTTTCACCCGCAACTCAAGCAGCGTGTCACCACACGGGTACGTGCCGAGCACCACCCCCCAGCAGACCAACTATAACTCCGTCACCACGAGCATGAACGGGTACGGCACTGCCGCCATGTCCAACCTGGGCGGCTCTCCGACCTTCCTCAACGGCTCAGCTGCCAACTCGCCCTACGCCAGTAAGTAGACTTGTGTGTCCTGCACTTCTGCGCGTGTTGCTCGGTTAACTGGGCGTCACGCTGTGTGGCCCACTGTGTAGGTCTCCTCAGTCTGAGGACCCCCACCACTCAAGGGGGCCCCAGGCGATGCTGTGAAAGGCGCCGTTGTCTCTGCCCTCCCTTCCTCACCTTCCTCATCCCAAAGTCTCCCTCTTGGCCAGAACTGTGCTGCAACCCGAAGCAGTGGTGTGATGTCATCGCCAGGACCCAAGCTTCAAGTCCCATTGCAGAGGGGTTTGACTCCTGCTTCTACCAGTCACTGACCGGTGGCCAGGGGCAAGTTCTCTCCTCTCTAAGCCTCAGTTTTCGCATCTGCAAAGTGGGGAAGGAACTAACACCCATCCCGTACAGTTGTTGTGAGATAAAATCGTGCATGTGATGAGCTTGTCCTGATGCCTGGCCCACAAGAGGCACGTTCAGTAAACCTGAAGAATCATGATGATGGAATCATAATAATAAGTTATGCTGCTACTGCAGCATAGTCCCAATAGTGGGACTATATGACTCCTTTTTTTTTTTTTTAAATGCTTGGAATTTTTCTCCTCTGTGCTTGATGTGTACTAAAAACAAATAACAACAACAGACCAAAAAAACAAAAACAAAAACAAAAACCACTTTATTTTTTCCAATAATTTGGCAAGATGAAAAAAAAAACACTCACACATGTACAAGAATTATTTTTTGGTGCCATGTCCTTCCTTGTCTTAAAGAAGTTGAGCTTAAAGAATGTTTTGGTGCAACATTTAGATTTTATCTAAAGAACCTCAGGGAACTGGCATCTTTACTTATAAAATGTCCTGGGCTGTGTTTCTACAGTCTCTTTATCTGCCTCTGACGATTTTTACATAGATAACCAAGTTTATCTTGGACAGTGTGGGTAACTCTTCTGTTTTGTAAAATGAGGCCAAACTCTTAGACATTTGTGGAATGATAGAAGATGTGTTGTTAAATGAAAGAATATTCATTATTTTTTAAAAACGAGTCTTGGCTAAAAAAAACACAAAAAACCTAAAAACCACGCTGTCTCTAATATTGGAAATGTGGAGCGTTCTAATCCTTTGAAAGAAGAAAGGTCATTCTTGGCTTTTGAGAGTGGTTATTTCTGAGAGTAATACTTAGAGCCTTTTACTTTCTGGGTGAATTTTTATGCTCTGTGTGTGCTAAATTTTATATTTCCACTTTATCTGTTTGGAATCAGCAGCTTTTTGAACATTTATAATTTCCCCAAAAAATCTGCATACATTATGCCTGCCTACTCAAGAGTCCGTGTTTGGGACCAGTTTCACATTGGATTTTGATTCATCGAAAGGTTGTTTCTCATAGATCTATCATTTCGGTGTTCTCCCATCTACTCAATCAGAAAATGTTTCAATCATGACCTGAAAATTAAAAGGTGGCATTCTTAATTAAATCAATAAACTAATTGCTATATGGTAGCAATTCAATTTAGGGGCTTGGATTGCTGTCTTCCCAAGCCGGTGCAGACGCACAGCAACTTCAGCCTGAGATTGCATCTGTCGGACTGTGAAACTTCCAACATTTAATTTCCATTAATTGATTTCCTCAGTGCTCACAAATATAGTATTAAATTCTCAAATAGGCTCTCAGATGGGATGGTTTTATCTGCATAAATGCAAATAAAACAATAAACACAAAGCCCAGCTGATTTGAATTTTTGCTTCCATAATATTTAATTATTCATAAACCACTCATGTTGAAAAATTCCAAACAGAATAAAAAATAAAATAAGACATTCCACTGGTGAACACACTTTCTGGTGTGGTGGCTGATAACTAATAACGTTATAACAAATGGAGCTGCTTGACTATATTTCACCCTTTCCTCTGTTAACCACCCCCCTCAAACTCCCCACCTCTAAATACACATAATGATCGCATTTGCCAAGGAGATTAATTGCCTTCCTCAGTGAACCAGCAGGATTTCAAGTCTACGAATATTTAAAAATCAAACCTCCAGTGCAGGAGTTTTGCAATTTAAATGGGTGTTATTATTGAGCGTATTTTCACATTTACAAATCCTAAGAGATGTATAAAAATGCTGGCCTCATTAAAAGAAAAAGTACAGTTTAGAAAATGTTTGTGAAAACTCTGAGGATGGCGGCTCTGTGTTCTGCTCCGTAAAGCATTCCGTGCCTTTGGATTGTGTAGTGCCTAGGGCTGATTACAAGGGGTCATTTCCCCCTGATGGCAATTGCTGCCTATTTCCCATTTGATTCCCGCTTCCCTAGCTTTCCACAGCCAAGAGGCCAAGGGAAGGCCAGCCACCTACACAGCATTTTAGACTCTCTGGGGGGCTCATGGGAAGGAGACCTTTTCCCCTGGTTATCTGTTTCCTTTGCAGGGTGGTGTAGTAGAAAGGACACTGGATTTGGTTTTGGTTCCTGGCTTCCCTGCATTCTAGCTATGGCCCTTGGGCATGTCACTAAACTATTTTCTGAGACTCAGCTTGGTCGGCTTGCTCAGGTATAAAAAGGATGTAATAGGCCCCAATTTAAGATTGCTTTGGCAGTGACATAAGATGAAAACGACATGAAGATTCTTGTGAATGATAAAGCAGTATGTAATGTTGATTACATAACGTGAAAAATAATACAGTAGAAGGAAGTACTTAGAATTTCAATGAAATGCCTGAAAATCACTGGGCAGGATTCATACTTGTCCCCAGGAGATGGAGGAAATAGAAGGTGAGTGTATGAAAATACTGGTCTTGAGTGGAGAGGACTCACTCTGTACCAAATCTGTCTCCTGAAGTAACCATGAGACTATTAGCAGCTAGCGAGATATGGATGGCCAGGCTGAAAGGACCGTGTTGGTAGAGAATGTGCATCTACCAAACTCATGTCTCCAAGCAACTAGGCTTTCTCCCTCTCTGAATTGCCAAAATTCTCCCATCATCGATAATCCACATTCCCACTACTACTAGACTGTGAGTATTTGCATAAAGCTCCTATCCTACTGCCTATTAATTCACAAGCATTCATGTACAGCTCCATGGGGGATAGAAAGAATTTGGAACTTTGACTTGTAGTTTTGCATTATCCACAAATGTTGCTTGTGGCAGTCTGTTTGTCCACATGGCCTTCCACCTACCCTTCTTCCTCACATCTCTCATTCCATTAGTGACCACGCTGTCTCAGGCTGGCCTCCTCCTGCCTCTTATATCCCCAGCCACTTTGCTAGAACCTTAGTTCAGGCCCACCTGGAATGCTTCCCTTGACTCCTCTTCCATGAAGCTTTCTTTGGTTCTCTTCCCTGCCTCTGCAGAATTGGCAGGCTCACCTTTGTCATTATTTTGTGCTACTCTATCCCTAATGAGAGCACTTTTGTTTCCTGGCCTGGGATGCCCCAGTGCGTAGCACACTGCTCGGCACATAGTAGGCCCACAATAAATACATAAAAGACCACCAGCAATGAAAGGTAGCATGTGCCAAGTACTAAGTGATGAAATCAGACAAGATCCCAAGAGTTCAGGAAGGGTCATGCTGGAAGGGTGGCCTGAGCAGGGTGGCTGGGTGAAGGGCCTCATCTCAAGATGCCAGCAGAGGCTGATTTCTCCTTTCCCATCCCATCTTTTCCCACTCAGTCGTGCCATCCAGCCCCACCATGGCCTCCTCCACAAGCCTCCCCTCCAACTGCAGCAGCTCCTCGGGCATCTTCTCCTTCTCACCAGCCAACATGGTCTCAGCCGTGAAACAGAAGAGTGCTTTTGCACCAGTTGTCAGACCCCAGACCTCCCCGCCTCCCACCTGCACCAGCACCAACGGGAACAGCCTGCAAGGTAAGCCCCACCCACGCCAACAGAATGCCCTGACTTCACCCCCTTCCCCCAATCCCCCAGGGCCTGAAGCAGATGTGTCACTGGTGCAAGGGCATCAGCCTTGGGCCAGCCTGCTTCTCTCTGCCCTCCTTTCTTTTGTTCCTTTGTGTTCACTGTCCTTGGCCCTGGGCCCTAGCCCCTAGCTCCACGCATCCCTCCTCTACTGGAGTTGCCTGAGCAGTCCTCTTTCAACTCCAGCAATTCTGCTCAGGCCCGGGATTTACTTGAGAATACTGTTTCCACTTACTAATGTCATCATTTCTCTTTTCTCCTCTTTCATTCCCTGTGGTCGCCATAATCAGACCAGTCTTTTGTGGACTCTAGCAAGTTCTCCACTGCAGGGTCTCTCCCGGGACTGGCATTCTCCTGAAGTAGGTCACTCAACCTTCCCTACCTGTTGACTGTGTCAGCGTGAACGTATGTGGGGCTGATCATGGGGAGTGGGTGAGCCATGGCCTGACCAGAGCCCTGAGGTTAGAGCATTATAGACCAAAGGCCCAACACTGACTATTGGGAACCAGAACCCCCAAAATATGACTAGAGTATTCTGGGTCATATTAAAATTGTTCAATATTTGTCCCCATCACGGAATATGGAAAATAAGAGTCACCAAGAATTGAGGTGACCTCTCTATTCATTGAGGGAAAAAAACCACCCTTTTTAAAATGGGTCCACTGTGTCTTACATTTTTCTCATGTGCTGGTACCGTTGACCTGCACAAGCTCATTCATCCCTCACAGCAGGAGCGTGTGTTGGGCATTCAAAGCCCCTACGTTATGGATCAGAAAACTCGAGGTTAGGGAAATTATGAAATTGCTTGATTTCTGGCAGTAGTGTGTGGCCAAAGCTGGCTTCAAACTCAGGCTCAAAAATTCATCTCCTCTTTCTTTCTCCCAAGCACTTTATTACTCAGAGGTGGGTAAAAAGGATGCATCCAGGATTCCTAAGGCATCTGGCAGGGAAATAAGATCAATAAAATAATCAGCTGCCATTTATTTAGCACTGAACCGTGTTTCAGGCGCTGTGCTAAGCACTGAGCACGCTTTATCTTACTTAATCCTAACAACTTCCTAGTGAAATATGAGGATATTATGATCTCCATTGTACGGATGATAAAACTGAAGTTTAAGGAGAGTAAACACCTGCCTAAAGGCACAGCCCGTAAATGGTGGAGATGAATATAAACCCCAGCAGAGTCTGCACCCCTAACCCCCCACACAGCTCCCCACAGTGCCTTCCTTCATTGGTTGTCATGCCATCTTCACTGATGGAGGTCAGCCATGGGGGTCGAGAGGGGTCAGGAGGGTGGCATACCCATCTGGGATTTCTCAGCTCTGTTTCTTACACACACACACACACATATTATGTGTATGTATATTATGTATATGTATATTGTTTATGTTATTTGTACAGAGAGTATACATGTACTCGGTACTGGATGCTTTCCATTGATATAATCTTATATTGATTCTTTCAAAGAAACTATGAAGTCAGTACTATTCCCTTTATATAGATGGGTAAATTCAGGCCCAGTTTGCTCAAGGTCACACGGCTATAAATAATAGAGCCGAAATTGAACCCAAACTGTGTGACTCCAGAACCTGAGCTTTCTAATTACTCTGCCTTTCAGACTCCATACAGGCTCTGCTAAACATTCTTCAGAAACCTACTGGCAAAGCTGCCCAGCACAGCCAAAGTCATGCCCAGTAAAACATGCTTGTGTCCCTCCCTTGAACATGCATTGGCAAAGCCATCTTCGAGGGCAGAGGAAAAGAATCTGACAATGGAACTACATTTCAGACAGTATTATTCACAATGCGTCGTGCCCACCCCTACAAAGGGGAGCTACCCATTCATACAAATCTGACTCTTTTTCAGCTAAAAAGAATGCTTTGTCACCCTCAGTACACCTCCGGCTGGCAAACTAAGGATGTAATGCCTAAGTATAACTTCTAGTTTAAATAAGGATAAAATATATGGAAAGCAGAAATCTGCCATTCTTGAGTTGCTTATCACCACCCTCGTTAAACATAGATTTGATATCAAAATAAGGTAGAATGGGGTTTGTAATCAGGAGCTGACAGGTGGTGCTTGAGAAGAAAAGGCCCATAGCTCTTGGAGGGTCAGTAGCTGTATTACTGGCCAGCGGTGACATAAGCAGGTAGCCCTTAGGCAAGGCCAGGTCTCTTCTTGCTGTGTAGACCAAGCAGGGAGCAGGAAGGGACTCAGCCCAAACTGCAGAATGTCCTGGATTTAGGGGACATCTCTCTGCTAGTGTGTGTGTGCGTGTGTGTGTGTGTGTCCACATGCATGTGTGCATGCACGTACACACACGCACATGTGCATGCACAGGTGCTCTTAAGTAACAATGAAATGGCTTCAAAACAAGGACTCATACAGAGTTTGTTCATTTGTTATCCAGGGCATTTCTAACCCAAGTCTTCACAGGCTCCAAGAGTGCAGAGACCATTCTCCCCTGTTCTGATAAGTGGCTGAATCACCATTTCTCTGTCACATTTCTCACTTATGGCTGCACAGTGGGGAGGGTTCGAGGTGAAATTCAGGGCCACACTTTGTGCTGGATTTGCTGTGGTGGACGACATTGCCCTTTCCTTCTAATTCAGCATGTGTCCAGGGGTTTCTTTCTGCTGTTTTTTTTTTCCCAACACAGTCATGTACCAAACATCCCTACCTTTGAGGGATGCCAGGGGAGGAGGTATGAGTAGAGAGATTCAAGTCAAATTAACTGACACCATTTTCCTCTAAGCTGTCCTGTCCCTCTTCCTGCCCACTCCACTCCCAGCCGCCGTGCTCACCAGGGCCCCCATGCCTGGAATTGCGCCTTGGCCCTCTGTACCCAATGCCTGTGGCCTGAGGTGCGCTGTTGTGCCACTGTTTCCCGGGAGCTCCTGCCTGAGGTCTTGGAGTCTCCCCTGACAAAAGGGACGCTGGGACGTGGGCTCCTACACCTGTAACTGGAGAATGACCTCATCGTTAGCTTTCTAAACTCTGCTGGTCTGTAGAGAAAGGGCATAGACGGGTTACAGAAAGGGGGTGGTGAGAGCCTCTGAAGTGTGACCTTCCTCCTTCTCCTTTTCATTGTTATAGTAGTTTCACGTGGGCCCTCCTAGTTCAGAACTGTGATCATTAAGACAGGGCAAGTGATGAAAGAAGTGTTGATTAAGCAAATTGACCATATAAACAAGATCAGAGGTGACATGTTTAGGCTGTTGAGGGTTTTAAAGACCTGTGTACCCCCAGCTACCACTCTACTAATTGTATTGTTTGTTTGTTTGTTTGTTTTGCCAACTCCTTAAAGGCCTTTTTCTCAGCAGCCCTGTCATGGCCTCCTCTAGTGACTGCATGTATGTTTATTCCCCAACGAACATGCACTGCAATCTCCCATGATGGTGATGACAATGGTCACAGCCGCTGGCATGGGAGGGCTTGTTCCCAGCCCGGCTTCTGCATTATATCATGTATTCTTCCCAACCATCCTTGATGTAGGCTGCTCCTTGTCCTCCTTCTACAGATGCAGAAACCAAGCCTTAGAGCCAAGATGGCTCATCCAGAGTCACACAGCTAGCAAATTGGAAGAGCCTGAGGTCAAAAGCCCGGCAGACTGATTACTGTGTAAGCCCCTATGCTATGTGGCCACACTAAAGTCAAGCCACTGGGTGAGGTCCATGTGGACTGCAGAATCCTGACCTTAAAATCTTTCCCTGGGGTAAAGGAAACATAACACCACAGTAAAGCAGGCAGGTCTGTCTGGGAGAGGCTGGGCACCCACCTGTGGAAATTCAGAGGAGGGGAAGATTAGGGGGAATTCAGAAGAGCCTCACAGAGAAGGGTGCCGTTGAACTGGACCTTGGAGATAGGGCAAGGGGGACTCAGAGGGAGATGGGGAGGGGGCATCATATCAAGCAGAGGATTAAAGATAACTGGAACCAAAGAGTAATGTACAGTAACCCACAAGCCACTCGGCATCCCGGGGCACAGGGGCCAAGAAGTGGGGATAAGGTTAAGCAAGGAAGTCATAAACTCCATTCTTTACAAAGATTTTATGATTCAAAGTTCCTACTGCGATTCCAACTGGCTTTCTTTACCAGGTAGATAAAACCTTGGACAAATTACCATATGTCTGAGAAACTTTTTTAGGATAAAGCAAATCTTATCTCAGCACTTCTGGAGTCTCAGAAGATATACTATTAAAAAAATGTAAGTGTTGTGGTCAAACAAATCTAGGAAGTGGTGCTTACTGAATCCCTGTCTTGGAGAGACACAGTGTACCTAAGTTTATTAAAAGCTCTGAGACATCCTGCAGTTAAACAAACAAACAAACAAAAAACAAAACAATTAAAAAGTCTTTTATGTAGTTCTTTAAACTTATTTGCCCAGAGAACCCTTTTCCAAATGTGAAGACCAATTAACATCCCATGGAAAACTTTGGAAAATGTGGCTGTATTTTGGATTTAAAGAGAAAATGCAGAGAAATCTTTTCCGTTCGTATCTAGGTAAAGTCGTTGATGAATACTGATCCTGACTCCCCAGGTGTGTCTGTTTTCATAGGTCAAGGGTTCGAGTGACCCACTGTGCCCAGCCATTGTCCTGGAGAGGTCCTGTCCCTTCTCCTAAGGCTTATGCTCCCTAGAGCATGGCTACTATGCAATTTCAGGCCTCAGAGGACTTCATTAATCAAGAGAGAGGCAGCCCCAAGGAGGCTGTCACCATGCGATTGGACCTCCCCCCAGGGTAGTGATTTTAAACCCTAACCATGTCCTGGACAGTCTCTGCAGTGAAAAATTAAAAACAAAAGACCAGAGTGATTTCACAAAAATTGTACCCATGCACTGAATTTTTTCTTTCCTCACCTTATTATAGCTCAGGGTGGCTGGCCCTACCTGACTCTAGATATCTTGCAGTCCTACAGCGATTGTGTGGAGTTGTCTTTTGCGCCATGTACATGCTCAATTTGTGCAAGATATTCCCCCTATTCTGTTCCTGATTAGCTCATAATTCCTACACATGTGGTGGTTCGAGGAAGACCACATTCCACCCTCACTCCAAATTCTCCCAGCTCTGCAAAACTTTTCATTTTGTCTTTGTTCTTACCAAAATGTGAAAACCCTAATGAAAAATGCATGGACTTTCAAACCAATAGTTTTCTGAGCTTCTGTCAGAGAACATGATCATCCTGCCGCCGGGGAAAATGGCAGAGCCACCTCGGTCTGATGATGTCCTGTGAAGTTTGGCATGTGTTACTCTCTGACAGTGTTGTGTCTTTGTGGAAATCTTCATGGGCCCCACTTGGGCGAGTCAGTGTGCCAACGGCTTTTCTGGAACATTCCAAGCCTCAAACACCCATCCCTCTCACCCACGTAAGTAATCTTGAGGGTTGAAGCACAGATACAGGAAAAACAGCTCCTATAAACCCAGGAGCTTCCCTGCAGTCATGCAGTGGGATTACTTTATAAAAAGGTCTCTTCACAGGTATAGCGGCTTACAGACTACAAACAGCGATCTTGTCCTAAAATGTATTCATCAAGAAGTGTTCTGCATCTGGAGTTTAGGAAGTCACAGAAGAGATGTAGGGAGCTGTGACCCCAGTGTTCTATGCAGAGTGTTGGGTGCAGGTACATACGGGTCTTCTTCTGGAGAGAGATTCCATGGTGTCTGCTAGGCTCTACGAGAAGTCTGAGGGCCAACAAAGGCATGGTAGGAAGGTATGGACAGGCCAAAGCCTCCCCCTAGATACCCTCCAATATGTCTGTTTTTAATTTTAACTGTTCGCTAACATGTATAAACTGGGCTGTTTTGTATTTTAAAACATTCAGATCTCCATCTTCTCTTGAAAGAATTCAGAAAAGCTGGTGGTTGTAAGCAGGCATTTCTGCACAGCAGTGTTGGGGGAGCCCGCTCTAAAGAAGGCATGCCCTTGGCAGAGTCGCTTTGATCCCTACCAGGGCACATCGCTCACTTATGTTCCCAGTCTGGGCTCCCAGGGCATTGGAGTCTGCACCCTCTGTCATCCAGATTAAGAAGCACTGTTAGCTATGGACTAGCACTGTTAGCTTTGCTTTATAACTTTTAATGGGGCCCTAGATTGCTAGATCTTTTTTATTTTTTTTGTTTTTTGTTTTTTTCCTTCTGGCCATCCAGAATTAAAAAAAAAAAAATCCTGATGTTTTCAGGGCCCAATTAATAAACTTAATAAATGTTGGCCAGACCCACTGACCAAATCAGCAGGAAGTTTGTCAGTTGTCTGCTTTGCTTTGCATCGTATTGACACTGCCTGAGCTACCCGGCTGGCTGTCCAATAGGGCACTGCCCTTTAATGCCAGGCACACAAAGTAGATTTTGGTGGAAGGCAAAAGTAAGATTTGCTTCTCTTGCCAGAGGCTTAGAACTCCCACAGAAAGACCTGTCTTTAATAAGGGTGCCGGAACTCACCTCCAGCCTAGATGAAAGATCCTTAGGGAGGCAGAGCCAGGCTGAGCTGTCACAGTGCAAAGAGCCCTTGCCCCCTTGCCTTTGTAGCTATAGCATCTTGGAGTTTCAAGTTAAGGCTTGGGTTGAAAATCTGAGCTCCCCGTTTCAGTCAGATCTAAGGCTCACTTGAATCTTAGGGGGACTGCTTTTCCAACTGATCTCGAATCTTTGGGGGTTTAAGTTGGCCTGCATTTGGCAAGAGACACTTCCTGTTTCTAAGAAAAATGGCTTATGAGGGCTTACGAAAAGACTCCAGGAGCTTTTGGACTGCAGAACGGCTCTTGCAAAACAACATTTGGATGATTTACGTGTATATGAATCAGAAACATGTGGATTAAATTTCCCTGTGAATACAGATGGGTTTAAAAATTAACGGAAAAAGTGTTTGGCAAAATACATTTTTTAATTGAATTTAAAATGTTGGGGGTGGGGGAGGGGAAACAAGAGGGGTGTGGGGACTGCAGGGCTCAGAGGCTCACCTAGCCTCCCCGTGTCTGCAGCAGGATTTGTAGTAGTTGGGGTTTGCTTTAAAAAAGGCACATTCTTTTGGACATGAGAGTTGGGACACGAAGAGAGCCACTTCCTAGACTCAGTCATCACTGACAAGGACATCAATTTAAATTTAGAGTTGCCAACAAAAAAGAAAGCAATGACTTTCTCTCTCATCTTTGGAAGCAAAAGATGGCTGCCTCTTGCTTCTAATGGACACATCGCTCTTACCCCCAAAATATTTCAAAGTTGCCATACTGTTTTAACTTTCTTATAGACATCCCTTCATTCCTCATGCTCAGCATATGAAGTATGCTGTATGGGTGGTGCCTTTTTGATGTAAGAAGAAACACAGACCAGAGATGTTAAACAATTAGCATGAGGTCACACAGCTAGTTTGGCAGCAGAAGGGATGGGTTAAAAGTAATAGCAGCTAACCTCTATGAGGTCTTTACTGGAGCTGACGCTGGGCCAAGCACCACACATATGTTATTTTATTTAAATCTCCAACAACCCTAAAAATATCACTGCCCTTACAAATACCGTTAACTGCATTTTCTAGCTGAGGAAGCAGAGGTTCAAGGAAACAAGTAACTACCTCTGGGAGACATACTCAGAAAGCAGGAAAGCCAGAGGTGGAACAGTGGCCTGTCGGATTCCGTGCTTTTCTAAATACCACTGTGTGCGGGCTTCTAACTCAGAGCACTTCCAAAGATTTTTTGATTACCCCAAACTGATTTCATTTCCCCCAGGATCTCACCCCAGCTTTCCTAGGCTATAATTTTCTAAGAACGTGGTCAGACCATTCCAGAACCTTGAGTGCAGCAGTAGTATAGGAGACATCCTGCAGGTTCATGCAAACCTGCCTTCCCCTCCTTTTCCACGTTTTCTCCCAGCTTCATATTCCCCAGAACAAGGCCTGAGGTGGCTGGCATTTCCTTCTCCCCGGTATGAGGGATGAAATATAGGCATTCAGATTGCTGTTCTAGTATTCAGTCTTCGCAAATAGCACAGAGCCGTGGGATGAACTAGTTTTTTATTTTATATTACGGAAGTCACAGGGAGGGGCAAAAAGAGGGACACATTGGAAATTCTCACTAGTTTGCAAGGTTTGGGGCTGCAACTTTCCCAGCGATATTCAAACTCTGCAACTTTCCAGTTATATTTTAAGATTGAAATCAGATTTGGAGGGATGTTTAGCATCTTCTGTTCCATTAAAGACACATACACAGGCTGACTTATCATTTTTAATAAAGTACATGTATATTTTATAACAAAAACTCATTCCAGGGGAGATGAGAGCACATTTGTGACTAATATTCAACCAACATAGTGGTGTGTGGGTGTTTTTTCCCATCTTTTTTTTTTTCCTCAGTGAGAATTTTGGATGCAAAACCATTGACTTTTGTCTTCTTTTTCCACAGCGATATCTGGCATGATCGTTCCTCCCATGTGAAAGAATTGCCTTGAAGAATTTTATTAATGAAGAGGTTGGATTCTGCTACAGAGAGTAATCTGATACAAGTCCCCGAGTGGAACTTTTAACTCAGGCCTTTTTAAGAGGAATCACAATAACTGCAGATTTTTAAACAAACAATATCACCGACCTTGCAAATACTGAAATTGGAAGGGTTCTGCAAGTGCAGTGTTGGTTAAAAGTTGTACCTCCCAAGTATTTGGGGGATATATTTATTCTGTGTTGATAAAAGCAAATCCACTTTTTCATTTTCTTTCTTTTTTTTTTTTAAGCTTAACTCTGCAATCATTTGTCTTTTATAAACCGTAAAGCTGTATACAAGGGACACTATAAATAAGACTCCATGTTTTAATTTATGATGTTTTTAAAGCTGTGTAAAGGGAGAATGAAGTGGTGATATTTACAAAAAAGTAAAAAAAAAAAAAGAAAAGAAGAAAAAAAAAAAAAAAGCTTGTATGGGACAGAATAGGAATGCCAGTTAGATTTTTTAGAAAACTAAGGGTCGGCTTTTGCGCCTTAAAGCATATCAAATGGTAGTTAGCTCAGACAGTGCATTTTCAATATCTAACTTAACATGCCATCCCTTAGCAGTGCAAGCTTATTTATCTCTTTTGTATTGTTGTCTTAAGTAACTGTGTAAATAAATGCAGCCTGGAAAGTTAAAAAGTGATGTAAGTGATCACATTTTTCCCTTCTACTCAAAAATCCAGTGCCTCTAGACAGATTGTTAAAACTGCATATTTAAACCTGATATAATTCTCTCTTTTACTTATGTCAACTTCTTCTGAAGCCAATGGCCTCTGGAGAGCTTGATGGCACACATACTGTGTGAGAATCCCCTATGAGACTGCACGGAACAGGGTCCAGGCACAGAATTAGAATTCCACATTTTGCCCTCCAGTCATCAAGCCAAAATCCCACTCACACGCCGCCATTTGGAAGTTTAAAGTTGACTCATCCTAAATGCTGACTTCATACCAATCCTCCAAAAGCTGACAAAAAGCAACATGGCAGGTATTTCGGATTTCCCATTTGAGATGACACCTCTATCGGTGACCCTCACCATTTGTAACATAATAGATTAGAGGGACAGGTTAAGTGCTTTGGAATTCAGAGTAAAAGGAAACTGGGAGAAAGGAGAAGAAGGTTGAGAGCTCCAAAACATAGTTCTCTGTTCTATGGAATTTTTGCTCTCATTATCTGGGAAGTGTTCTTAAAAGTAAGAATAAATAGCAAAGACGCAGCAAAGCTCTGAGGATGCGTTTGCCTGATATTTTTTTCTTTGCTGTTGTGTTTTGTATGTAGTTATAAATACTGTAGATTTTTTGTGATTTTTGCCAAAGTCGTCGTTCTATTTATACATTTTAATGTCTTAAGACAGTTTTTCAATATCACAAAAAGATTTTACTGCATATTTTGCAAAGAAAAAAAAAGCTCACTACCTTTAGCTTGCACATACTTGCAAAGTTAATTAAAAGGCTTTTTGTTTTCAAGGGGATTTTGTAAAATATCCATATAAATAATGTATTTATCTTTGGAATTTGTACATTGCTTTCCCCTTCTTCCTTTTCCTCCCACTCCCAGGTTATTTTATTGTGTACGTTTGCTATGTGAAAAGTGCGTATTTGTTTGGTCACCTACAGTTGTATTAGCTGTTTCAATGTGATTTTTAAACATTTCATTTATAGTTATTTTTAGTTTTGTTTTAAACCATGCTTCAATTTTTTTTTTATTTCCACCCAAAAGCCATTGTCTATTTTTGTATTATTTGTAAGTTAAGAAGTTTTTTCCAATATATGGCAAAAAAAAAAAAATAGTAGCATATTATTCTTGTAGCATTTAGTTCTGTAGATTAAAAAAATGTATCCTTTGCTTTGGAAGCTTACAAAAAAAAAAAAAAACCCTAATGCTGTTTTACTCTATTAATATGCATGGAATCTCTCCCTTTGGAGTGACGCATTTTGTGCATTGAATTTCGGGGGAGAAACTTCATAGAAATCAATGAACATACTTTCTTTCCTAAGTCTGCTTGTATATTTCCTCTGTCTTTCACATAAATATAAACCAGCAGATTGGATGCCTTAACAATGCAAATCATATTCATTTCACTTGTACATTGTAACTGTGCACCAGAACTGTCAGTCATCACTAACATTCTAAGAAAAAAGAAAAAGAAAAAAGAAAAAAAAAAACAAAGAAATGGAAAAGCACAAAAGAACTGTTTTGTTACCTTAAGACAATGTAACTTTTTCTAGTAGAGCAAGAAATTTACAACAATGCTGCAACTGTGCATGCCCCCATATGGATTTTGCAATGGTTTTCACTAGACTGTCAGAGTGCGATTTTTATGGGTTGGGGCGGGTGGGGGAGGGGGGTTGTGGGAGGGAAGGGAGGGGGAGGAAAGCTGATTTTTCAAGGTGAGAAATAATAATAATGATGATTAATAATAATAAAAAAAACTGGAAAATGTAAGCAAGGTGGACGCATTGCTTCTCGGTACTCAGAAAAGTTGTCTGAATTCGTGTGGTAAGCGCTGGCCTGAAGATGTATACAATTTAAAGCCATATTTTGTCTGGTGAGCCCCTTAACTGTTTGTGAAGGAATGGTCAGCCGGTGAGGTGTCCGGCTCAGACCCTGACAACAAACGCCACCCATCTGTCAGCCATGTGTAGTGGTTAGAACTTTTCTTGAAAGTCCAAAGAGCCTTTAAAATGTGTATAATTTGTATTCTGTTGCCTCTATTTATATTGATTAGATGAAAAGATGTTCTGGCCCTCTGACCCTCTTTCTTCAACACAAAACTTCTACAAGTAAAAGATGTTCCCCTAAATACAGAATATGGCTTTAAGAGGAAAATGAAATAGAGAATTAAGATTTCAGTTTTGGGGGAAAAATACAGCTTCTGGATGACTGGATTGCCTAACACGCCCTGGCCTCACATTGTACTAGGATGCAGCTTAACGAAGTCATCTCTGAGTCTACTAACCTTTCACCTTCCTATCAAACTTTTTGAATAGACACACACTGTACAGTTCAATTGTTAGAGAACCTAACTACTGTAGAGATTGTTATAATTTTTTTTTTTTGCAAAAATTCAAGCTGTAAAAACTTTTCAACTTTCACAATATTTAATTAAAGTTACTTCCTGTCTGTGATGGCAGCTTCTAGTTGTGTATTCATTTCAATAGTTCAGATGAGCCAAAGTCCAACATATGTAGAAGGTCTGTGTTTGCAATTACTCAGACCAGTGTTGACACCCAGAGAGAAGAAATCTGGGTAGTCCTGAGACACCCACTCTCTTTCTTTGTAAATCCTTGGGGATTTGCCAATCTGGGAATGCAAATTGCACACGCACAGCGTACTGCTGCCCTCTGGCGGCAGCAGATGGATGCGCACATGTGCACACTGGCCCACAGAGGAGCCAGGAGGAGCCTCAACGATTTTACCAGCCAAGCAGTGCAGTCCCCCTATAGTGACTGAATTGTGAGTCCAGGATCTGGCCATTGTAGAATGCCATCCTCCATGCTACGAGTCTGAACCAAGCTCTTCACATACAGCTGCTAATTAGTCCCAGTGAGCCTTCTGGTCAATTAGTTATGTGCCCTGGCTCATTGATGAGGAGGCATGTGTGAACTCAGAAGCTTCTATGATCTACAGCTTTAGATCCCTTGTGGATAAGACACTCTGCTGGATAAAACCAACCAAATCTGGAGTCAAACGTTCCCCAAACACCCAGTAGGCACCTTCTCCTGTTAAATGGTTTCACTTTAAATTCTATCAAAACCATGAGTCTTTCCAGTTGTCCGCCCAATGCTTTCCCTGCTTTTGCAATTGTTGGATATGATAAGGTTAATGATGCTTGTAAAAGGCCTCAAAAACTTAGCAAATAAGCCATAGACCACAGAAACTTGATGACCAGAGCTAATAGGCCATCACACAACCACCATCTCGATCATTTGTGGTGGGCATCATTGATACACTTTTGCTCTAGAATAGAGCCCAACTGGAAGTAATGAAAGAGTGTAATGAACAAGTTAATAAGTAGAGAAGCTATTGTCATTTTCTTAAAAAGGAAATACATGTTGCTTAGTTTGGTCATTTAGTATACATTTTCTTTTGTTTTTGGAATTCTGTATTAGATGCACATCCCTGTATTCGATACAGAAGGTAAAAAAAAAAAAAAAAAAAAAAAAAAAAAAATTAACAAGAGGCCCCTGCCCCCAGAACACTCACAGTCTCAGAAAAGACAAATCTATGCCCATCAAAGCAGTTTAGAAAGTTGAGAGTGACAGACACATGCGTGTCACACCGCCCCACCGTAGAAAACAGACATCTACACCTCTACACACTGGCCTCCACTTTCCTTAAGGCCTATTTCTTGCAAGCGTTCATTCACTCATCCATTCACATACACTGTGAAGATTTACTATGCACCTGGCACTGGGTGAGGTGTGATAGATTCCACAGTGAGAGCAGTGACGCTGGTCCTGCCCTCATGGAGCTTATAGTTGAGTGGGAAACAGATGTTAAGCCACTACACAAGTCCATACTAACAAACGCACAATGACAATGAAGAAAAAGTCCAGAGTGCTCTGGAAGTATATTACAGTGGGATCTGACTTAACCTGAAGGGCTGGGGAAGGTTTCTAGAGAAAGTGACATTTCAGAGGAAATGTGACGGATTAGGTAACCAGGTTAGGGCAGGCACCTTAGGTAGAGGGAATGAAGGCACTTGTAAGGATGTGAGCTTTGGGGATGGATCTGTGCATTCAGAAACAGAAAGGCTCTGGGACTAGAGTGTGCAGATGTGAGGAGGACACTGCAGAACTTGGAAAGTTCGATTCACAACACGTACCGAGCACCTGATGTATGCTGCTTGGCACTGTACTAGATGCTACGATACACAGGGAAACCAGTCATACTTCCTGCCCATTGGGCCCAAGTCTCAGCTCAGCTTGGCACATAAATTCACAGCCCTG